GCTGCATTTTGAACTGGGAATAAAAACTAATCATGTACTTCTATACAAATATAATGTTTTGCCTTTTACATTGATTCTTTTAGTCATAAATGTTTGGGAGGCAAACAATTGTTTCTGGATCTTTGATGGTTTAATTTTCAGAGTGAACTTGCTTCGTTCAGGTTTCAGCAATATTTCAGATTATTCAGTGTGTGAAATTACTTTAAGAGTCTTCTTAAGAAAAGACACAATCATGCAAGAAATGAAGAAAATAAAATAAATAATTAGTTATGGTTCAGTTGAACTAACTTGCGGATTACTCCCTTTCACTATCCATCTATAGCCCTAGATCTAGGTTGTGCAGTAGCACTTTCTTATTAATCAAAAGTCAGACTCTTGTGTTGAGTGAAGCTAGTTTTTTTACTTGTTGATAAATCTGCAAGTCTAGCAATTCATTCCAGCCCATCGAACATTTGCTAACTGTTATTTGTGTCCATTCTCCTCAGAAAAGTGATATTCTGATGTTCTCACAGGACTATGCAAACGGCTGTTGGGGTATTTGGTGGCGGTGACTATACAGATAGGATGGATATACTACCACTGATGGTGGCAAATGCTGGAAATAGTGAGCGTGCTGCAATTTCAAGTCTTAATTGCCCACCTATCCTTGCCGTGGAACTATGTCGCGAGCATTTGGTATGTCTAAATGAGAACACTCCCACATTTGACTTTCATCTTTACTTGTCAAAAGAGCATCTACTCACCCTTCACTCTTTTCTTTACTCCATTCAGATATTTTGTGTCCCATGCATTCGGTTTTTCGGTCATAGTATCAGGACAAAAATGAATATCTTTGCATTTTTGTGTTTCATGTTTGTAAGTACATCCTTTGCTTTCTTTTTCTTTCTTTTCAAATGATTGGTTGAGGTGATGAGTCTGACCTTTTACAATCTTGCATAAAACATAATTGCATTATGACCGGCTATATTGTAGTCTGTTATGATGCAAGTAAACAAAATTGTGGAAATGATTATATTGTTTGAAACTTGGGAATTTTGAAGATTCTGAGGTGAATCTCAGCCTGTGAAAGTTAGTAGGAAGTATGAATATTTTGTCAGACGAACTGAGGATTTAATCATAGTTGCTTAATTGTGTTTGGAATTTTCAAACAAAAATTATATGTTATTATTCCTTACATTTCCCCCCTTTTGTCTACATTATTTTCTCTCTTTTCCTCTGGAAATATATTTGCTTTGAGATATGGGAAAATTCAATGAGAACATGATAGTCTCCTTTACCGAATTACTTTATATTGGCTTGTGAATTCTGGCAGACCTTTTTGCTTACAGATTATGATAAGTGGTACTGAAGTCTTACATCTTTTTATTACAATAAATTGATAAATAATCTGGTAGAGTTAAATGTTCTACTGGAATCCAATACTCATGTTTGAAGCCTGACAACTTCCTTCTTCGACAATGGTGGTTGTAGGGTATCCATCCTTGTGACAAGAGGAGAAGCGTCAGTGAATATCAATGTCTTTTTCCTGCGGTTGATTTTTCACTGGCAAGTACTGTAAATATCTCTTACATGTTGAAGTACTTAATAGACATGTTAAAAACCAGGCATTTGTCGATGACCAAAGGCTCAGGGCTAAGGAATCGAGCAAATATCCCTATACATCCGTAATAACTCTGATTTTCTTTCAGATAGAGAGTGATGAGGATGCTTTATGGAAGGTTGATGTCAGAGAGACTAAGGAGGAGCTTGCAGCTAGAGGAATGAACTTTCTGATCTGGTGAAAAATTTATTTTCTTATTTCCATGGAAGATAAAAGCTATTGATTGTATCACTAATATTAAGTTTATAAAGAAAAGCTTTAAGAATTTTCTTTTCCTGTCTGTTCTCAGCCCACAAAATTTGCATTAGTTTTCAGTTCTTTTGTAATAAGATGATGGCAAACCCCACCACCCACCCCCTACAAAAAAATGGGAAAATAAGGTAAGGTAAAAAATATAATCAAATAAGCTCTATAGTATGTTGTGAATGGATTCATGCCACTGATTTGGATCTTGCATTAAGAAAAAAGAGCATTTTTCTCGCCGAGATGTCATGTGAATACCACGAGATTTTGTGCTTGAACCTCTCCCCATAACCAATTACATGAAT